TATTCTCGCCTAGTCCACTTTACCTCACCCACATTGGTCACCCTGCCCCAGGTGGCTGTTGTATCTATTGTTCCCAGTTTCTGGACAGCTCTGCCCCAAATGGCCATATAGCCCCCTCCTTTACTTCTTTCAAGTATCACCTTCTTATTGAGGCCTTCCCTGGCCACCCTCTCTAAAACTGCAAACTTGCCTTCCCATACACACACTCTTAGCTGCCTTCCCCACTTTACTACTGGCCTTATGACTTACCAGATACTCACTATATATTTAGCTTATTTATTTTGATTACTATAAAGCTCCTCTACTAGAAATTCTTTTTTGTTCACTCTTGTATCCCAGCACCTTGAACAGTGGCTGGCACAAAGTAGGCTCTCAAAAAATATTAGTTGATGAATGAAGGTAATCATGATAACAAGAAGAGCTACCTCTCAAGTAGAAAAGTAAGTAGAAAGTAAAGAAGTACTTTGTACGTGTTAATGCATAATAAATGTTAATTATTTAAATTAATATTATATGCCCATGTGTATCTGTTGGAAGTGATTTTTAGGTGGGAATTGCAGGAAGGGAAGGAGAAATTCTAGTTAAAAAGAATGGTATGGGGCCGGCCCCATGATGTAGTGGTTGGGTTGGCGTGCTCCACTTTGGAAGCCCAGGGTTCGTGGGTTTGGATCCTGGGCGCGGACCTATGCACTGCTTATTGGGCCTTGCTGTGGCAGGCGTCCCACATAAAATAGAGGAAGATGGGCATGGATGTTAGCTCAGGGCTGCTCTTCCTCAGCAAAGTGAGGAGGATTGGAAACAGGCATTAGATCAGGGCTAATCTTCCTCACACACACAAAAAAAGGGATGGTATGGAAGCACATGGTTTTGCAAGTCAGCCTCAAGCAAGGTAAAGACAGCTGATGGAAACACCCTGAGTCTGGCCCAGATTATCAGCTTCCAAGGCCCGCCTCGGGGGTGAGGGCAGGAGAGAGGGGGCGGTGGGAGGAAAGCTGGGACTTGTGTGAGTGGGGTCATGGGGTCTGTCTGCAGTCGCTGATAGTTCGGGGTGAGACCTCTAGGCTCCCAGACTGCTATGTGCTGAGGTCCCTCTCGAGTATCTCCAGCGGTCCTCAGCTTCTCGGGGAAAAGTCAGGGCTTCGAGGTTCTGTCCATCTCTAGGGCTAGAGGTACACACCCTAAAGCAAGCAAACAGCTGAGTCCAGGGCAAGCAATTGCCACGTATGTTCACATTCTCTTCAATAGACTGCTTTGCTCTCACAACGTACACTCTCATGGGGGGTCGCAGCTCCAGGGTGTCTCTATGATGCTGCTTTGTGCCTAACACATAGTGTCACTCTATGTTTTCTCATGGGTTGGAGTGAAAATCAATTTGCCTACATCTAGATGGTTATCATCAGTTACAAAACATATTTTAAAGTGAAAATGCAATTTCAAAAAGGCAGTCTAATTCCTGAAGCTATAAAGGATATACAATTCTCAAAAGTCTTTGTATCCAGATATAGCTATTTGATTAGCTAGTATAGGCATAGTCCATGAATAAAATTCCTTTGTAAATCATATCACCTTTGGATTTTATAACACAAAGTTGATTTTCATGGATTTTCCCTGAACTTCACTAATTGACTTTCTTTACTCCCACTAAACAGTCCTGGGGCAGAGGCAAAGAGGCTGTGTGGCTGCTACTTCTCCCGTTGACAGTGAACACAGTGTGAAGAGATGCAGAGGAAGATACGTGTTCTGTAACCCTATGTGGTCAGACGATACTTTCCAAACCTTTCCCAGTTTCAGAGAGAGAATAGTGGCAACCTGTATAATACCTGCCTCAGCTTCTCTTTACAGTTTGTAATTGGTTTCTCACGTGGAGTTTGAACTGTGCTTGCTACAGTGGTACAGGTGTGGCCTTGGACCTCTGATCTGCGAAGTTAATTAAAGGGCTTGATCTCATTTCTTTCAAAGTGGTGACCTCAGACCCTATACAGTAGAGTGGGGAATGTGTGTGTATATGTGTACATGTATATGCATGTGTGTATAAACATGTACACATGCCACGTGTGCATATATTATGAGAGAAAAAATAAATAGAAAATGACAGATCCTGAAAGAAAAGAAGTAAGGAAAGGTACGAGAAGGGAAGGGAATTCTCATTCTTTACGCTCCTACTATGAACCAGGCACGGAGAAGAGAAGGCAACAGGGGGAACAAAGATGAAGGGATGCAATTATCTGGATGTTAAAGAATGAACGTGTGAAAATCTCCTGCCTTAAAGGAGACTACTATAAAAAGAATGTTGGCAGCCCTTCAGGGAGTGCTCATCAAGCCATTCAGAGGAGAACAGAAGGCTGTGGGCCACTGATTTTGGCTTTGTCTCCCCTAGGTGCTAAGCTGCTGTCTCGCCATGAGATGAGTTATCTTTGAAGTTCTGCTGAGAAGTCTAGATGGCATGACTTAAAAGTGCAAGTCCCTAGACAGAGTTCAGCTTCCCAGAATACAAATGCTCGGAGAATCAGATGAAGACAGGAAAAACCAGTCCAAGACATTTCCCTTTAAACCCTAGAGAATGCTAGTAGTCTCCATAATTAAAAGGATCTAGAAGACTATATATTGGAGATTTCTAGGTATTGGTATCAGGTTTTTGTTCATTGTTTTTAAATGGGGGGGGGGCCCTAAAATTCCTGTAATTGCATCTTATGATTCCTCTGATGGGCAGAGGGAAAGGGTGACCTTGCAGAATCCCTAACTAGGTGGGAAGTAGGGTCAGGTCCAGCTGAGCTCAGGACATGACAAAGAGAGAAGGACGAAAACAATAGCCATTTTAGAGAGCTTTAGGAATTCCCGGCCAATTACAGGTTTTGCTTAGATGTCGCTTTGGCTTTCTCCACTCCCACTGCCCCCATATCACATCAGATGTCCTCAGCATCATTGGGCTTATTATAGGAGCGTCTCCATCTCCATTTGCATTTTGGGGTAGATTACAATCATTTGGTCCAATTCTTCATCATTCTTTATATCCATGATCCTTGCCATGTAACTTTGTAGTGCTGTCCCACTGTGCGCTGGTGACCTACTAAGCCTCTTGACCTTGGGCTCAGCCATGTGATTTTCTTTGGCTAATAGGATGTTTAGGAAATGTGATGCAAGCAGTGACTTGAAATGGACTTGCACACTGTGGCTTGTTCTTCTGCCAGGAGAAGAATGACAGACACATGGCATTGGCTAAGATGCTCTAGTCAAGTCTACCCTTGAATACAGCCCCAGCAAATCCACAGACATGTGAATCAGCCCAGTTGAGACAAGCAGAGCCACCCAGATCAACCTAGCTCAAAAGTGTTGGACGCTGCAGATGTGTGATAAATAAATGTTTATTGTTGGATGCCACTGGAGTTGGGTGGTTGTTTGTTACACAGCAAAAGCTAACTGATACAAGTGCCATTTGATCCATGCTCCTCTTGTCTTCCAGAGTGATATTTCCAAAATAGAACTCCAATTATCCTAAAATTACTCTGCCTAAGACACTTCAGTGACTTCTGTTACGGGCTGAATGGTATCCCACCAAATTCATATGTTGAAATCCTAATTCCCCAGTACCTCAGAATGTGACTTTATTAGGAAAGAGGGTCACTGAAAATGTAATTAGTTAAAATGAGGTCATACTGGAGTAGAGTAGTTCTTTAATTTAATATGACTGGTATCCTTATAAAAAGGGGAAATTTGAGGACAGACACACTCACAGGGAGGATGTGAAGACAGAGATTAGGATGATGTGTCTACAAGCCAAAGAACACCAAAGATTGCCAGAAAACCACCAGAAGCTGAGAGAGAGGAATAGAACAGATTCTCTATCCTAGCCCTCAAAAGGAACTAATCCTGGTGACACCTTGATCTCAGACTTCTAGCCTCTAGAACTGTGAGACAATAAATTTCTGTTGTTTAAGCCACTTTCTATTACCTTTAGGATAAAGCCTAAACTCCTTCACAGGGTATGGAAGTCCTTTCATAGGCTGGTCTCTGGCTGTCTATGGTCTCATCCCTCACTGCATCCCACTAGCTCCAGCTTTGGCCCATTCACTAACCACACAGAACTCTCAGTGGTGCTTCAAACACCTGCTTCACAGCTTTAGTCATGCTACACCCTTGGCCTCCAATGCCCTTCCTGCTACCTTCCCCTCCCCCTCTAGACCCCCACTCTTTACCTAATTAATGTTTATTCATATTTCAAGCTCCAGATGGGGCTACCATCTCTGGAAATTTTCTCCTCACCTTCCAATCCTAACTATGGAAGGATGCCCTATTGAATTCTCCCCAAACAACCTATACAGCTGTTTCTATCACAGTGCTTATCACACTGTGGATAATTAATTGCCCATTACACATCTTTATCCTCATCCACAGACTTGATAATGACCCTCTTGAAGGCAGGGTCGTATACTATTTGTCCTTTTATTTCTAGCACCTAGCACAGTGCTTGGCACAGAGTGGCTGCACAGCAAATGCTTGTGGAAGGAATCTATGAGTGTCCATGTGCAAATGTGCAAACAGATGTGTTCTTGGCATATGGGAAATACACTCTGCTTGTGTGATGACTGGCAGTTGAGTTTACTTAGAAGTGAAAGCACCCAATTAAAGACCAAACATTGCTTCCTATTCTTCATTTCCTTCTCTCTATATAGGTACCCAGTCTCACATGCTTTATAATGCTTTTAGATGTAAGTGACTGTGAATTATTACGGACTGTGGACCTTTCATCTTCAAGACTGACAGTCTATGTTCCACATTTGTCAGGAGGGAGAGACTATTATAACAATATTTTTGCTTACCAAGAGAATTGTTAATGGTTATCCTGAAGGAAAAAAAATCTATAACTGTCCAACCTATAACGAAGCCTTAAGATTACTTTCTTCCTTTACTAGTGAAATTGTTTCCGAGTGCAGTGCCAGAATTGCTACATAACCATTACACTGAGACAAGAGACAGAGCCTGTAGTGAGTTTTTTGTTTTACCTGTTTAGTCCTCATTTTGGAATCCAGCGACAGATTGTTGTAGGTATAGTGTGCCTGTGTGACTCCACAGAAGAGAACAGCAACTATCCCTGAAATTCAAAAACATACCAGTCAAAACCAATTTTCTTTTCCACCTAAGTCAAAGGGTAGGGCTATCGCAGCAAAAAATGGACTTGGTGTCAGTGGAGTTAAAATTGCTAATAATTACCATGATAATAAAACCTGGGTAAACCGTGCTATTTGCTTTAAACGTGGGTCTTGCAGGATTAACTCTAAAGAAAAGCATTAAGAAGTAGATTCTTCCCGGGGGATAAATGATTCCCTGGTCACGAGTTAGGGAAGTTATACTTGGAAACACATGAGCAAAGGACTCTATAGTCAGCTCTGGGCTTCTCATAGCCAATGCAAACAACTTTGCTGCATTTTATACTAAATGCTGGCATATTCGCTCAGACAATTGCTTTCCATTTGTGTACCTTGAAGAGCCTGAAGAAGTTCCTGTCATACCATAATTTGGTATTAAAAACCATGAGTCATAAACCTAAGACATCTACAAGGTTTTGTTGCCTCTGCCAATGCTCCTACTTGCCAAATGAGAGAGAGAGGTCCTTGTTTGCCCCATGCCTGCTTGGCAAAGCTGGGGGCTTTGTCTTTCTGCTGTTGAATAATCTAATGAACACATCCAAGGCACAAACTCCTTGCAGGTAAGCTGGTCTGCTCTTGTGTGCTTCCTACCTGCAGTGGGTCCTCAGCTACTTATTGGCTGGCTGCAAGATTTATTTCTTAAACCATCATTACACTCATCTTTAAATGCCACGTGTGGCCACACATACACTAGGTGTTGCCTGGGGACAGAGGAGTAGCAACCATGGGTAAAATGAGTTATTTGTCCCTGGGCTCTGTTATTCTCTGTGTTGTTGCCCCTGAGTTGGGGTGGGGAAGTGGTGGGGGCTGCATTCTACTTTGGATTAAAGATTTGATTAATTATGGGAAAATGGTCATAGAGGAGGGCTTTGGGAAAAACACAAGACATAAGTATTCCTCAACTCAAACCAAGGGGATCGAATTGAATTTTAAGCAGCAGAATCTTTCCAACTTAAAAACACTCATAAATTAAATGCTGATGATTCTTAAGAGTATAGAGATACGTGAACTGATTACTGACATTTCAAATGAATCTTCAATAAAGAACTTTAAAGAACCAAGCATGTTTTTTATGTGTAGACTGTATGCTTCTAATTACATGTTGGTTATTTTTCAGGTTGGCTTTGGGTAAAATATTGCCAAGACATATTTACCTAATACAAGTGCATAGACATTTACATTACTTATTTCCTTTTCATATTATGCTTCAAAATTTTAGGAAAAAGAATGAAAATAACCAGAAAATTTTGCCAAGAGACATATATGCAGTAAGCATTTCTATAGATGTTTTGGGTAACTTTTCACTTTCTTAGCATCTCTTCAGAAATTTTAAGGAAAAATGCTTATAAAATATTATATTTCACTCTTCACAGAATTTCAATTAAAAAACACCCCATACCAGGGAAACTTCTATGGTACCGAAGTGCTTCAAGTACTCTAAGGCCCAGGAGGATTGCCATGCATGTTGTTTCAGTATCAAATATTTTTCATTTAAAAATATAATTCGTGTGTCTGCTGATTCTGTAGTCTGCTGGAGGTTTTTCTGGGTGAGGTTTAGCTGACGTCCCACTGCTGTGGAAACATTTTGACGATATATTGATCTGCGGAGAAGCAGTGAATAACAAGGGTGTGGGGGGGTGGGCAGCGCATAAACGCATTCTGAGAACAAGAAGAGATAACAAAGAAGTGTTATTCAAGATAGGGAGGGGACTAAGATTGGCCGAATGCTGACTGTGGGCCAAGAGAGCACAAGTTTTGTTTACATCATCTTGTTTATTGCACTGATTTATTATCTCACAGTTAGACAGCCCCTCCCACTGTCTTCTCCTTCTCAGGAATAGCATCTCCATTCTCCCTGCTGCTCAGGCCAGAACTTTGGGATCACCCTTTACTTCTCCTCTCTATGTACATCAGTGATTTTGTTGCCTTGTTTTTCGAAACTTACCCCGAACCCAACCACTTCTCAACATCTCCACCCCTAGCACCCTTTTCCAAGCCACCATCACTTTTTGCCTGGATTACAGCAATAGCTTCCTATTGGGCCCCCCTGTCTCCACTGCTGGCCCCCATAGTCTATCTCCCACCCATCAGATCATGTCAGTCCTCTGCTCCATATTTCGTAATCAGTCCCTGTGGCTAAAAGGCCCTGCAGGACCTGGTCCTGCCCTTTCTCCTCTTCCCACAGCTCTCTGTCCTCATCTCCTGCCACACTATCCTCACTAGGCGTGTTCCACCACAGGGCCCTTGCACTTCTGGTTCCCACTGTTCTGAAAGCTCCTCTCCAGATATCCACATGGCTCTCTCCTTCCCTTAAGATGTACATTATTGGACAGGCCTTCTCCATGCACCCGATAAAAATGATCCCTCTCATCATTCTTTACTCACCTATCTTGCCTTATTTTTTTCATATTATTTACTACCACCTAACATGTTATGTATTTATGTGTTTATTTTCTGCCTTCCTGCACTGCAATGGAAAGTTCATTGAGTGCAGAGTGATTCATTGGTCCCTAATCCTTAGATCAATGCTGGGTACATGGTAGGCACTCAGCGAGTGTTTGTTGAATGAATAAATGAGCATTCCTATCCCCATGTAACAAATAAGAAACTAAAGTAATTTACTCAAGGTCACCTTGAAAGTGGCAGAGCTGAGATTCAAAACTCCACAGAATCCCTGTGCTTTCCTGCCTGTAGTAGACCATCCGTGAATGTTTTCAGGTAATCTTAAGCCAGCTAAAAAATATCATTCCTGATGTCCTTGGGAAATAGAGATTTGATGAAGATGACATATCTGAGCTGGTGGGGCTTCTCGTTTGAGGATATTTCCCCAGTAGCTCCATTGGTTTTCATTTCCTTGCCTCCATTAGAACACTAACAGGCTATGTTTCTGCTAATTCTTTATAAGTTTTGCGTACAGATATGTCACACAAACAATAAACAAGGAAAAGTGTGCCTATGTGACCTGAGGCTTGGTTTTTCATTAAAATGAAGCAACCAAGTTGATCTGACCCTTAGTATGAATATACATAATCATAATTCTATAGCTTGGTAATTAATTAACTCACACAAATTACTATAATTAGTACGACTTTTATAAGCCAAAACAGATTTTGAAAATGTCTCATCTAAACACATCTACTATTATCTATATAATTCTCTGCCATCTAAACAGATTCAGAGTTGACAGTTTTCTACCTCACAAAAACAATTACATTTTAATTGTCATTCTATTTTTGCATACCTATGCCTGCTGGCACTGGTTGTACCACTATTTTGTGGGGCCCTGGACAACTCTCTCACATGCTCTGGATCTCAGGTTCTCAGGAGTAAAAAGGAGGGAGACCTAGTGTTCTTCGTGCCAGTCAGCAAACCAGTGTCTCAGCTCCAAACCCACCCTCCTGTGCTCGCTCTGTGATCCTGGGTCTGGGGTTCTGCAGACCACATCTTGCTTGGCCAGAGCCCGATATAAAGCCCCAGAGGAGGCCAGGACACTGCGGGGGAGAGGAGGCCTTGCTCCTTCCTGTCTACCTGCTGTTCCTGTCAAGCTGCAGCTTTGACAGTTGGTTCCAGCCTTGTTCTCTGTTTTTTCCTTCACTTCCAGACCAGCCTCATGGGACGCCCTCAGAGACAGTGGCAGCAGCAGGGCAGTGTCCTCGGAGGTCTGGGTCCCAGCTCAGGGGTTCTCTCTTAGGAGCTCCTGGATTCTCTTCCCTTTGCTCCTCCACTCCTAGGGCTCGCGCTGCTTCCTGCAATTGCTACCTCTGTGTGCCTCAGTGCCTTTTTTAATTTTTTTGGCTCTCCACCACCTGTTTTCCCAATTTCCTGAATTAAACTCTTGTCAGTAGCCAGTCAGTTCCTCTTTTCCTGACTGAACCCTGACCAGTACTCTCTTGTGAGTCCCTTGTTGTTCTAAACTTTGATGGTCCTCTGAAACCAGTGAAGGTTTGTCATCTGGAAATAAGATCCAATTATATCCTCCCGTTATGACTGGCACAATGGGGGACGCCAACGGCAGCTGAGACCCACGCCAAGTCCTAGAGGACTGGACTCCTGCTGATTTCAATCCTACCTGTGGTGAGAATTGGTGTTTGTAAAAAGTCATATGAGTTTGAGCCTCTAGACTGGAACAAGTGGCTTCAGGACAGGACTAAGGTAGGCCTAGAGTCATTCAAGAGCCATGACCCAGACTCGGACACGTGTTTTCTGATTCCCAATCACATGATCTTTCCAAAAGAAATGTTTGGGCTAAAGGACCATCTGCCTGAGCTGTTGTAGAAAGAATTCTTTCATAAAGTAGAAGTTTGGATTTTCTTCAGTTCTGTGGGTCTGTCCTTTTCTTATTCATTATTTTATTAGTTCACTAGGATTAACACCTTAATTTAGTCTTTTGTTAAGTTCAGGGCAAGGAAATAATACTGGTTCCAAAGGAAACATTTAAACATTTTGAATAGAGGCAGACCAACTTTCTCAAAAAGGCAAGATAAACAGAGACTTTCAAATATCCGTTAAATTTTAGACAGACAACCCTTCTAAAGTAAAATTTAAAAACATGTTACCACACCTTCTAATCAAAAATTATTTTTTTCAAGTAAGCTAGGAGGTTTAAAGATAAACTCAGGAAGTCTCCTCTTTCGGAAAAGAATGTTTCTAAATCTCTAGTCCACAAACTTTCAGGTCAAAGGACATTGCCAATGGTGAATTCTGATGTCTGTGTCCAAGGGCCAGAGGCAGCTCACCTCAGAGGAACCCGCTTCCTTTCTTCTCTCTTACGGCCATTTCTCACCCTTCTGTCCTGCCTATCCTTGTCACTCCCAGGCTGTGCTTAATTTACAGCTTATCCTACTGTCCTCCCCACATGTCAGAAGCCACTTGTCCTCATTTGGAAGCTCAGCTGTGGCCCAAGAATCTGCATTAGGCACGAGTGATTTCAGCACTCTACCCAATG